TGCAAATTGGCAGGATATTCAATATACATGTTGGAGCACATTCCAAAATGCATGGTTGTACCTGAAAATGCCGTACAACTTCACCTATGTCTCTGTTGAAAGCTAAGATTGCAGCTCTCTACACACGTGATAATAAAAGTCCAAAATGGTATTTTTTTCCTTCCTGAGGAAGCCTTCACATTTCAAGTTTAGACTAGTGCTTCTGAAACTTACCAACTTAAAGATGTGTAGACTTCAACTCCCAGAATTGCCCAGCCAGTATGGGAGTTGAAGTCCACACATCTTAAAGCTGTTGAGGTTGAGAAATACTCCTTTAGACTAGTGGATCCCAATCTTTTCTTCACCACGGCCCCTCTTTATATAACTTTTGTGGCCACTGACACCCTGCCCCGCAAAGACTTAACTCAGGATTTAAATTAATGGTGAAATTCAAGGTTTTTTTTATTGGTTCTGTGGGCATGGCTTGGTGGGCGTGGCAGGGGAAGGATACTGCAAAATCTCCATTCCCACCCCCCCTCTGGGGCCAGTCAGAGGTGGGATTTGCCGGTTCTCTGAACTACTCAAAATTTCTGCTACTGTTCTCCAGAACCTGTTGAATTTCATCCCTGATTTAAATCATAACGTTTCTTCAAATCTTTGCAGATCCCTTCTGATGGCATTGCAGCATCCCAGGGGACTCAGGCCACTGATTAGACCAGGGGTGTCAAACTCGCATCGTCACAGTCCCAACACATGACAGATCACAACTTTTCCCCCCTTCACTAAACCGGGTATGGGCATGCAAATTTGACAGCCCTGGGTTCTATTGAGTAAACAATATGAGTTGGGAAGTAAGTGGTCATCTTGTTTGATAAGCAGTTTTATGCATATTCATTGTTTGGGATCAAAGCATATTGTAATTACTTGCATAAAATAGGAAACAATCATGATGTCCTTGGATAAGCGCAGCAAGAGATTTTCTAATTGCAGGGACAAGCAATCTAGTACCTTCACAAGTTTTGAACTTGAACTATTAATAGGGACTTGCAGAATAGACTACAGTATGATTGTAGGAATGGTGATCCCAAACATCTGGAGGGCTCCAGATCTTCTACCCTAGCAAATATAGTAGCTACATTGGTTAATATTGGAACCCAGTAAAACATTATGTTATCAGGAAACAAAATGCAGGTGACAAAATTGTATCATCATAATACATAATCTCTGAAGTTATGTACTTTACTAATTGTTATTAGTAAAAAGTAATTTAAGCAGAAAAGCATTTTTGGTTGAGTTGCTATCAAGTGTACACTACAGTCCCGACTAATATTTTCGTTAGGAATTATTGCATGAAAAGCCATGCATTTAGAAGGTAGTAAGTTGGACAAGGCTATTTTAACAGCCACTCAGAAAATGAACAGTGTCTTATATCAAATAAACCTGCTTACATTTACATTTCAATCTGAATTTCTAATTTCACAATGAGTGCCCTTAATCACATTAATATAAACATTTTTAAATATGAAACCTGCATGGGGAAAACTTTTCTTCTAGAAATGTAAATGTTTAGGAACTGAATGTATTCTTTTAGGGAAAGAATAAATAGGGAATCCTAAGCCCTAGGGGAGACCTCTGAAGAAATCTGAACACAATTTTGCAGCTTTATTGGACTGAATTTTTTTGCTAGGATCATATTAAAATGGACCATATAAATAATAGGTTTCACGCATTGCTAAATGACTAATTCCAGTGGTGTTTGGAATATGCTGCAGAATTGTTATTTAAAAGAAAAAAATGAAGTCCATTGAGGCCCCTCTCGGAATTATTTTGTCATTACTATACAGCTGGCCTTCTATGTATATCCATAATTGATCCTACCCACCATGGTTATAAGTCATGGCAGTCATAAATTGGATTATCCACACGACTAACTCAATTTTATTTTATTTTTTGTGTATTGCTCATTAATCAAACAAACGGTTCACTAACGGCTGATTTTGCCAAAAAATGGAAATAAATGCCACTTTTTGGTAAGGTTGACTCAGCCTTCCATCCTTCCGAGGTTGGTAAAATGAGGGTCCAGATTATTGGGGCATAACATGCTAACTCTGTAAACCGGTTAGAGTGGGCTGTAAAGCACTGTGAAACAGTATATAGGTCTAAGTGCTATTGCTATTGATAAAATAATCACATAAAATAGTCACATAATCATGGGATACTACAAATAGCTGTAAATATGAGCCAGTTGCAAGTACCTGAAATGCATTCATGTGAATGTGGTGGGAAACTGGCCATCAGAACTTCAGAACCAAGTCGTAAGTAGTCCCAGGAAGGAGAATCGTAACTTTGAATGGTCAATAAATAACTAATCATAAGTTGAGAACTACCTTTATTACTCATGTAGCAGCTGTTATACGGATCTTGATTATCTCTTGCCATCCCAGCAATCAACATTGCTGGTGATATCCCTCTTGCACAGTGAGCCATGCCATTCTGTGACTCATGAACAATTTGTGGATTGCATTGGACATTTTTGTTCAAAACTACCAAGGAGTATAGGGGGCTGATTTTGGAAAACTTCTAAAAGTGCCTTATCAGAGCATTGCATTTTGAAACCTCCTGGAATATTGGAAGAGTCCTAAAACATGTCACCGCAACCTTTGAAGCACAGTAAACTACTAAAGACTATAGCTCACTAGTAAAGTACCTTTTTTTTTAAAAAAAAAAAGACTTTTCTTTTTTAAATAATTATATTATTTTTAATAACTTAAGGCATCAGACCAATGATGCAGTTCAGCCGATTCTATCCAGTTTAGGTGAACTGGCTCCGCCCACCCACCCAGATGTCATCAGGGCCCATTTTTGATGCTCTGCGCATGCGCAGAAGGTCCTGTGCATGCGCAGAAGGTCCTGCGCATGCGCAGAGGTCGTGTCTGCACATGCTCACATTTGCAAACCGGTAGTGAAGGTAAGTTGATTTCACCCATGTATCAGGCATATTTATAGTTGTCCTTCCTCCTATTTTTTCCCTTAACAACAACCCTGTGAATTGAGTTTAGCTGAGAGAGAGAGTGATTGGCTCAAAGTTGCCCAGCTGGGCTTTCATGCCTTAAGGTTTCACAGGTTCTGGCCTGGAGCCTTAACCACTGCACTCAACTGGCTCTTTTTGTGTGTGTAAGTCGGTGGATTGAATTTGTGGCATTTCCAGCAAGGCCTTCAAAGATATTTTCCATCTGCAAATCAGAGGTGGGTTCCTACCAGTTTGGACCGGTTCGGCTGAGTAGGTAGTAACTTGGCCTGCCACTCCCCCAAACCGGATCTCATCTTGTTTTTTGCTTCTGCTCAGAAGCAATATTTTTAGTACTGTGCATGTGCACGTAGTGTGCACCAAATGTGCCCGCAGCACGTCTCTGAGCAAACCAGTAGTAGCAGCACCTGGAACCTACCCCTGCTGCAGATGAGGGGAAAATGGATATGTAATTGTCAATATCAATAGATGGCCTGTAGAGCACCAGCAGTTCAACTCAACAGAACGCAAGTGTTTATATCCCTGTCTCATTCGGCTGATGCTGGCCACTTGCCAAGGTGTGGCTGTTTATATGAAATCATGCCTGATTATATAATGAGGGGGTCTAGATCTAGGTCTAGATCAGGGTTGACTTCTTCACCTCTGCTGTGTTATCCCCTCTCAGCTTTAGTTCCCCTACCTGAAGAAAAGCAAGGTAGGTTTTTGCACGAATGAGCAACAGAAAACCACCTCAACTCCACAGAGTTAGAACCCCACTCAGATCAAGACAAGGCGTCTCACACACATCACAGGGTCACAAAACACCAAGCATATCAGTCTGTCTGCAAAACAGTCTATTTTTTTAAAAAAAAATAGGCCCATTAAAAGGCTGTTATAAAAAAAGATTCTATTTTTGAGGTGATAGACTGAGAATGAATTCAAGTTTGTTTTGGAGAGCAGCCATAAACAGCTTTTCTCAATCTGACACTTTTCAGATGTTGTCAGGCCACAGCTCCAGAATTCCTAAGATGGCTTGGGATTTTGGAAGTTGTAGTCCCAAGGCAGGAAGCTGGGGAAGGCTGATCTTAAGAGAGTATAAATGTATGCAGGAAAGGGCTTAAAAGATGAAGCTTAAAAAATAAGATGTAAAACTTGGCAGTTTTCACAATTACTTGGCTTCTTTTGGGTGCCCAATGTCTCACATTTGCAGCAAAGATTAATGGTTTCAGACTGCCGGTTTGGACGAACCAGTAGCTCTGATGATCAGCTAGGAGAAAACTGGTTCACCTCAACAATCAGATGGGCCTATCCGCCCGCCCACGCTATTTTCCTACCTTTATCTTCTCAGCTGATTTGCATGGTAGAGCAGATTGCCATGCGAATCAGCTGTGTTATTCCTCCAAAGAAAAAAGACTTCTTCAAACTGCGCGCGTGTGCAAAATCGTGCATCACCGAACCAGTTGTTAAAGCGGGAGGATCCCACCACTGGTTTCAGTGCTGGTTTTTAACATGCCCTGTTAACACTTTATAATCTTTATAGATCTACCACAGTCCAGATGAGGTCTATAAGTAGCTAAGTGTTGCTTGTGATAGAAAAATACATTTAATGGCTGGCAGCATCCCCATCCTTGTTAGCTTAAGTTCAAAGCAGTTGGTGGTTCATACATGCATGTTGAGTTCTTGATGTTTGTTCTTCCTGAGGATATTTCATTACCTGGCTAGGTAGCAGTGCCAGTTGTATTCCCAACTGTAGATATATCTGACTGACTTTGCATTCACTTGCTAGTTGGCAGCTGAATGAGAGATTGTGTGGCCAAATAGGAAAGTGTTGTATTTGAATATCCACATCTTATCTACTTAGGTTAGTTCCCAAATGACTCAACCATATGTGCAGCCATCATTTGTCATTATCAAGTGAGGGAGAGTGAAAGTGACATCATCCAATCAATGGTTCATTAATATATACATTTCCTCCATTAACATATCCCCTGATTGTCTTTGTCTTTTGTCCCAGGTGCCATGACAGAACTCCAGGAAGTGCAGATCACTGAGGAAAAGCCACTACTGCGAGCACCAGGAGCACCTGATCCGGGCAAGGTTAGTAGAAAATGGGGAGGAAACCGTCTCCATCCTTCTGCTGCTGCTTTTCCCCCCTTCTCATCAGCATATTTCCAAATTGTATCCAGGCCTGCTTATTTCCATCTTTACCGGTCCTACTTCTATCCCATCTTTGCAGAGAAGTTGCATTCATAACTGCCTTTTTTCAAAACCTACCTTATAGGTTTATCTCTCTGGCAGTAGTTTTCCAGGTTTTCCCCATCACTTTGAGCTTCAACCTTTCTAAAGGCGCCAGAGTCTAATGTTTCTGTGTATGCCATCGTTCCTTTATTATTAGCTAAAAAAATGTCCTCTGTCAAGTTGGAAATTTTCTAAGCCCGGATCCATGCATGGTCAAATGCCTGTCTCTTTAAAGGAAAGGTAAACAGCGTGTGCTTTTCTTGGATATTGTTGGCTTGCAATTCTCCTTATTCCTTATCGCTGGTCATACTGTGTGTGGCTATTTGGCAATGTTTGAAGAACAACTTGTTGGTCATCCTTACTTTGCAAGTCTTAGAGGCGAAGATGTAACAGCTGTTATGTTCTTATTGGAGAATGATCAAACCTGTATCTAATTCCACAGCAGCAGTAGGTAATAAATTATAATTGTATATCTAAATATAATTCTTAGTTGAGACAAGAGAACCTGAGATCTTCTTGTAGTTGCTGTACTTCAGCAACTATAGTCCAGCAGTGAAATTCAGCAGGTTTTGACAGGTTCTGGAGAACTGATAATGGAAATTTTGAGTAGTTCACAGAACCAGAAAATACCACCTCTGGCTGGGTCCAGAGTGGGGTGGGAGTGGAGATTTTGCAATATCCAATATCCTTCCCCCAGGAATGGGGAGGGAATGGGGATTTTGCAGTATCTGTCCCCTGCCACACCTACCAAGCCATGCCCACAGAACTGGTAGTAAAAAAAAAAATGAATTTCACCACTGCTATAGTCCCTGCTAGGCAGGCCTGTTGGTGAAAAATGAAAGGCAATGTGATTTAGTATGCATCTGGAGAAAGATACTTTTATTTTACATCGTGAAGCTAACAGTATAGGTTTTATACAATCACTGGAATCCTATCAAGCATGATACACTAATATTCCTAGATTATTTTGATGCAACATTAAAATATTAAAAGCTACTTGGAAGTACTGTTGTTAGCTGATTAGGAGAGAGGAGAATCAGCTTGACCTATTTATGTGCCTTTAACAGCTATTTGGATGTACAGAATTCGGCAGATAAAGCTTTCCGCAGCCCAGATCAGTGCTTCTCAAATTTGGCAGCTTGAAGATGTATGGATTTCAATCCCCAGAATTCCCCAGCCAGCATGCTGGGGACTTGAAGTCCACACATCTTCAGGTTACCAAAGCTGAGAAACACTGGCTTAGATGCATATACAGTGAACTGCACATCATGATTATTAAAGAAACTAGTACAAAGCCAATGGAGGGGTGGGGGGAGTGGCAGTTGTTTTTCCAAGCAGTTGCTAAGGGCACTGCCAGGAATAAGTGTAATCAATCTGTCAAGGTCCTACTTCCTCAAGGCCTACTTTTAACTTTCCCTGGAACTTCCTTTTTGGTATTAAAGCATTCAGCCAAAGACAATAATAAGGACAAAAAGGACATCTAATTGCCCTGTGTTCTTCCAGTGGCGAACAGCAAATACTACATACAACAATGGGGCTGTCAAAGAATTAGACCTCTTATTGAGGAGGACCAATGAAAGGAGGAAAAGATCCTGCATGTTCCGTAAGAGAGGCTATTTCGGCAAATTTTTGACATACCAAAATTTTCTTAATGTTTCGACTCAACTAAGAAAAATGCAGGAACTTCATCTCCTTTCATATCTGAATAAACCTGCATCCTTCATTCTCCATTATCAAATACTAGTATAATTATTGGTAAAGGACACTGAATAGACTTGATCCTTAAATAGTGGCATAAACCTCCATCCTTGCTAGGTGCTTTAAATTGATTTTAGATAAGAGATATATCTACAGAAGGGGGTTGATTGCAAGATGAACAAGGGTTTTGAAGCATACAATAAAACTTTGCTGAAAATAGTAAATGTTGAGGAAGGTGAAAATCCAGAACCCCATGTGTTATACACCATTCTTTGAGCTCTCAGCATGAAATAACATAAGCACAAGAAATAAATGGAAGTGAATGCTTGCCCTTCTCTCTATGTTTTCAGCAGTGGAAAATTTTCACATTGTTGTACTGTTGTTGGGGAAGATCAGTAAGTGAAACATGATCAGCCTGTTGAAATCTTTGGGAGTTGCACAAACTAGGAGTGGTAATTTAAACTTCTTTGGCAGACCCCTTCTTCAAAAGATTCCCTATTAAAAGATATAATTACAGTTAGTTGCCACCAATCAGGCTGAACCTCCTGACCTGCCCTAATTTGTCTCACTGGGAAGTTTTAAGTCATTCATGTCAGTCTGCAAAAATAGAAAAGGGGGGTACTTTGATCTTCCTGACCAAAGTCAGCATTGCAAAACTTAAAAAAAACACACATTGCGCCAATTCTGAAACATAGGGTATAACCATGGGGGAGGTTTTAGCAGGAATTTCCCTTTTTAAATGAAAAGAGGTTTATTGGGAATAAGTAATATATGAAAACTAAACCAATAATCACACACAAAGAATTCCAGGTAAAATCAATTCAGCCAGCCTAACTAAATTAGTTATCTGCCTATAGGCTTCAACATATGTTGGCTGTTTAATTGCAGAAAAAATGGATTGGAGAGAGTCATCCGAGCCTGATGTTTGAATGTTGTTAGCAGGCTTTCTTTGCTACATCTTTTCTCCTTTTCCGTGAATGCTATTTTTATTATTACAAAATGTCAGGGGAAAAGACATCCTCTTTAGAAAGGTTGAGCTTTCCAAAGACTCCATCTCTGATGTTATACTCTAGCAAGCCAATCAGGAAATTATAATCTGGTATCGCATTCCCTAACAACCAGTGACTGTATGGCAAAGATGCTGAATAATTTTCACAAACAATGCTATTGTCCAAAAATAGTTACATGGGAATGGCATTTTTAAGAGAGAGGATATGATTAATTCTATTTAGGCATCTCAATGTGAGGGCACTAGATGTTTTATGGTGCATTTGAATAGTATCAGACATGAAAGGTTTGTCACACACTGTAAAATCATGAATGTGATGCTATATAATATTGGATGAGGTTTAAAATTATCACAGTATTGTTATAAACAATAGCCATATATAATAATTGCTTATACGTGCTGTTACAAAGAAACCTGTTTGGAATCACCAACTTTTCATTTCTTCGTTCAGTTTCAAACCTTTTTTTTTTTTAGTTCCATGGCACCTATACAACTACTAAAGGTACAGGAGTAGCCCCATTTCTGGGGGGAAACACCACATATACCTAGACATCCTACTAATTCTAAGTAAAGCAATTTAGCTATTAGGAGAAATATTTAACATAAGAATTAGTACCACTCACTCCCAGCAGTGGTTCTTGAATGCAGGGCATCACCATAATTAATAATAGCAGATGTTCCCAATATGTCATGGGACATGGAGCTAGGAGAACAGTTAGTGCAGACACACAGCTTGCCCAGAAAAAAAAACAAAGACAGCTGTGTTGGTTCAGGAGAGAAAAAATAAAAGTCCAAAATCCATACAAGCAGGGCATCAAAAACTATGCAAGCTTTTGAATTCGCCAAAACTTTACACCAGGCAAGGTGCTACAAAGACAACAGCTTAAAGATAGAATGCATTGCATTTTTATGTGCAGCTGGTCTGTAGTCATACAAGCTTCACAAAGAATGAAAACAAGCAGGTTTTCCTCTTTGCCAATGACAAGCATTTGGCCTCAATTGAGCAAGTTGTTAAAAACATAAACTGGAACACACAAATTCTTGTATCCATATGCTGCAGCTCTACAGTGCAACTGCTTTCTAATGAACTTATTTGCTGCTTGCAATCCATGCTGGTTTTTTTTTAAGGGTGCCAACCAATGACAAAAAGCCTGCACGTTCTGCTTCTTCCCCCCCCTCCCCATAACTGATTCTTCTTCCTCTTACTTGTTACCTCCTTGCCCCCTGTCTGTCTCTTCCCCTCCCCCCTTTTCTGTGTTCTAGGATGCTGAACTGGTAACAGCCAAACTTCTACAGGAATATGGCCAGGTAATACTACCATGCCATCCTTTCCATTTTACTCAGAAGTGCCTTCCCCTCCTCCCTTTGGCTTGCAGGAGTTTCTAACTTCAGAAGAAGCCAAAGAGTCAGTCTGTGTCCATTCTATCTAATCTTCTCCCTCAATTGAACAAAATGGATAGAGGTAGACCCAGTATTACAACTATCACCTGCTTTCTTGAAGGAGGAATTGCAAAAGTCTATCTTTCTCCTGCCTGATATTTGCAAAGAAGGAGAAAATTGTTGTCAGATAGATAAATTGTAATGACTGATTCTCCACAAGGAGAGAGAAAGTGAGGAAGATGTAACCAGGGGTTTTCCTCCTTATTTGTACTGGAAGAGAGAAGTGCAACCCGTCTGGGTAAACTCAACAAAAGCAGTGACTTCTTTGTTCAGCAGGAGATATTCCTGGAACAGAGATTACAAATCAGGAACATTTTTAGAGCAGTCACTTTTTTTTCTGGCAAGACACTTTTGCAAAAGAGCCAACAACAAGGTTTTCCGCGTAGCTTTGTCTTTGTGCTAAGAAAATGGCTTTACGCTCCGTCAAATCAATATTATCTGTTCCAAAGATGGGCAAACCAGTTGGGAGGTCTGCGTTGGTGATTGCTTGGTTTTTAACCAGACCAAAAATGGTAACTGAAGGGAAATTATCCACTGCAAGCTATCATGCATCATAGACTGGGAGATACGGAGTTCACAGATTAGTTGCCATCAACCCAAGATGAGCCCAGAGCGTAAATCTTTTATATGAATAATAAATAAATAGAAAACTCTAATCTCTGTCTCTAAACTGTAACAGAATTAAAGACCTAGGTGTCAAACAATTATCCTGCTTTATAATTGAGGCATATGAAAGTAAATGGATAAGCAGCGAACATGAGGTTAACTATGGCAGGGACTGTTTTTACAAAGTTTTATCATATTTTCTACCATTTATGCTATTTAAACCCAAATCTCTCGGTCTTGGCTGGTTCAAATATCACACTTGGCATAATGTTGCTTATTAGTTTTGGCATAGATTGTCATGTGAACCCAGCCACTGAGGTTTATAAGCTATGATTTATGGTTTAGTGTGAAGTGTGAATCTAGCTATTAGTGGCTTGTTCTGCAAAACATGGCTTACCACACTTTTCTAAGTTATCCACAGACTGATAACAGCTCTCTATGGTTTCAAATGAGGCTTCCCATCCAAGAGATTCAAAGTCCTCCTTTAGTCCATGTAGTTGCCATACCGTAAAATTTCCCTTTCCCCCAAATTGACCCATTTTGCATTATACAAGAGCCTTGCCAGACAAACAAAACTGAAGTAACAACTCTTCACAGAAATCTTAGCTTTAAGCAGCCTGTTTTTTATTTGCTGTTGCCACATTGTAGCATACAGGTAATCCTCGAATTACGGTAAGCACGGTGGTTTTTAAGCGCATCATGCTCAATTTTATGTCCTTTATGCCGTGATTAAGCAAATTACTGTATTTATAAACCATTAACTAAATTTGACTTCCCCCACTGACTTTGCTTATTGGAAGCCAGCTGGGAAGGTCGCATAGGTTGATCACATGATCCTGGGACACTGTAACCCATTGTAAATCCATGCTGTTTACAGCATGGATTTAGGCCAAGTGTCTAAATTTGATCACATGACTATGGGCATGTCTGACAGCCTGAAGCATGAGGTCAGCTGTAACTCACTTTTTAAAACTAATGATATTAAGTCACAAAATCTCTGTGCTTTGTTCTAATTGAAGCATTTCAATTACTGGCCATCTATTTATTCGCCAGAGAATATGAAGTTAACTTCCTTGTTTTGTGGTATGATCTTACGTAGTACCACAAATTTCAACCCTAGCAGCCTTCCTCATCATTGGGGTGGCCAAATGTTCCAAACATCCTTGCTTTTGTGTGGTGGCAGCAACTTAAGCTGTGGGCACCAGCACGAGACTATGCTAATCCCTTTATCCCTAAATATTAAGCAGCTTTGAAAAGCATAGGAGCGGACTGAGATGTTTATCAGTCCATTGGCAATCCTGTTGCAACATCATGCACCTGTTGAAATGCCTGCCTGTCATGCACCTAAAAAGATAATTGCTTAGTCATGAACCCACTTGACCAGACTAAAGTTATCATGTGGGCTCTCTTGCCCCATGTTTACAATAGGAATATTTATATACAGGGTTACAGTATGATTATATGACACAACAGATTTTTTTTTTAAAAAGAAGACGAGAAAACCTACCCTGTTTCCCCGAAAATAAGACCTCCACGGATAATGAGTTCAATCGGGCTTTTGAGTGCATGCGCTAAAATAAGCCATCCCCTGAAACTAAGCCGTTCCCCAAAATATTGCAACACAGCAGCAGCCATGAGGTGACCACGCTCACTGCCTCCTGCACCTCAAAAATAATAACACACACACACACACACACACACACACACACACACACACACACACACA